CATCAGCATCAGCAGCATCATCATCATCATCATCATCATCATCATCATCATCATCATAAACATCATCATCATCATCACCACCACCATCATCATCATCATCATCAGCATCAGCATCAGCATCAGCATCATCATCATCATCAGCATCAGCATCACCATCAACAGCATCATCAGCATCATCGTCATCATCATCATCATCATCATCATCATCATCATCATCATCATGGTCATCATCATCACCATCACCATGACCATCACCATCACCATCACCATCATCATCACCATCACCATCACCATCACCATCATCATCATCATCATCATCATCATCATCATCATACTGATCATCATAATCATCCTCATCACCATCACCACAACAACCACCACCATCATCATCATCACCATCAGCAGCATCATCACCACCATCATCACCATCAGAATCAGCATCAGTATCATCATCATCACCCCCATCATCATCATCATCATCATCATCAGCAGCATCAGCATCATCATCATCATCAATTCGCCGCCGGCGTCTTCGACTCACGTTGCTCTGCTCTACGAGTGCGTTCGCGGCCAGTGAGCAATAATGGCGGGGGCGGTCCTTGGATATTGGCAACTCGGGTTTGTTGTGCTTGTTCTCGTCCTCCGTGAACCAGTCAGGGAGGCCTGAGTCAGCATCGAACGTCCACCTGTTGTATGCAGCGTCGATGAGGTCCTACCCCCTGTCACGCCGTCTTCGTTGTGAGACACATGGGCGGGGGCGTTCGGAGGCAGGAGCTGGGAGTAAGGGGGATGCTGAGGAGCGGGAGAATACAAGGAAACGAAGGCGGTTGACGAGAGGAGGGAGGGAGACGTGGGAAGGGAGCAACGAGGCTGGAGAAGTTCAGCAGAGAGTGGGGAAAGAGACGGAAGGGCACGATCAGCCACCATCGAACGGAGAGTCGGATCGAATCGGAACGTGCGCCGGATCGGGCTGTATTGGCACGCAGTCGGAAATCGCATCGAATGGGCCGGGCCAGGATGCTGAATAGCGCCACGGAAGCAGCGGAGCATCCGACCGTCGGCATATCGGCATCAAATCGGATCGGGCCGGCCCGAATCGACACCAAATCGGATCGAAATGGGTCCCGAGGAAGGAGGGAGCAAGGCGAGGCATAGATGGGTCCCCTGCGCAGCGCCCCCCTGGCAGCCATGCGGGACTTCTTCGAATCCACCATCAGAGAGCCCAGCGCCAGCGTCTCGGCAAGCTCCTGTGGGATGCTCGGGCAAAGGAGGGAAGGGTTGAGGGGAAAGGAAGGGGGGCAGGAGTGAGGCGTGAGGAGGGAAGGAAGAGGGACCATGAAGGAGAAACGGTGGGGGCGAGCAGAGAGGGAGCAGGGGAAAGAAAGGGAGGAGGTTAGAGGGAAAAGAGATCGTGGGATGGTGCTGAGCAAATGATGAAAGAGAGGGGGGCGGGGTGGACGAGCAAGACGGACGCAAGAGAAAAGGGAGCGAGAGAAGAGAGAAAGGGAGAATGGGGGGAAACCTGAAAGGAGCGGAGGCCCGAGGCATGGAGGGAAGAGGAGGGAGCGAGGAAGGATGACGAAGGAGAGGGGGAGGGAAGAAAAGAGGGATGCAGGAGAAGGGGTGATGAAGAAGCGAAGGGCGTGGAGGGAGAAGAGGAAGGAAGGAGTGAGGCAGGAACACGGAGAAGGGGAGAACGGAGAACAACAGGAGGGTGCCAGGGTAGAGGGGGCGGCAAAACAGACATGAAAGGAAACAGAGGGACCATGGAGGCACGAGGATGTGGGGGCCACGCGGCACGGAGGGGGAGGAGAAAGCGAGGAGCGACGACGAAATTCAGGCAGCTGGGTAGGGACGAAGAGGAGGGAGAGGGAGCGCGAATCACGGGATAGTGCTGAACGACGCGGTCTCTGAGTGCCACGCCCTGAGGCCGAAAGCACTGCTTGCAGGCCAAACACCCGCGGCAAAGCCAGTGCTAGAGCAAGCGGGGGAAAGAAAAGGAGGGAGGAGGGAGAAACAAGGAGAGCAGGAAAGGACCAGGGGAACAAGAGCACGAGCATGTTAGCTCACTAAGTGAAAAAGGAAAATGAGCCTTACGCCTGGGAGGGGGGAATTTCGATCGGGCCCCTGTCGGGCCTCCCTCTCGGCTTTGCTGAAGGCCTTGGGCGAAAGACCCATGTGGATCCGCCATGAGGTATGTAGGGGCGGTGCGGGAGCGAGGGGGATGATTAAGGAGCGGTGGAGGGAGAAGAGCAAGGAGCGAACGGGGGAAAGGAGGCGTGGAGAGAATGTAGCAGAGAGGAGGAGGAAGGGAGAAGACGAGGAGGGGAGGAGGGGCATGGAGGGAAGGAGGGAGCGACGAGGGCTGGCGATGGATCGAGGAGAGGGGGGGGCAGGGAGTCGGGGGGTGAGGGGGGAAACGCGCAGGGCGCCGGCGGCTCCGTCCCGCCCGCCCCGACCTCTCGGCCCGCTCTCCCTCCGCAGGGGCCTCGCCGGCAGGGCCTCGCCGGCCCTGCGCACGTCACGGGCGTTCGGGAGCTGCGCGGTCGGGCAGGCCCATTGGTCGGCCGGGGAGCCGGCAGCGCGCCGAGGCCCGACGCCTGCCAAAGAGGCAGTGGGCAGACAGGGGGTCGCTGCGCCAGCCGCGCCCCCCCGAGGGGCAGAAAAAGCCCATCCCCCACAAGAAGTCATCCCGGTGCGCGGAGCGGTGTATAGTGAGCGCAACCCCACAGAAGGAATATCGAGCAGGGCAGGGCTGGTCAGTAGACGCCCAGGGCCGTCCAGTGAGCGCCAAGGATGGGGTCTGGGCGGTTTTTCCTCTCTTGGCGGACGCGGTCGAGCGGCGCCTTCGCAGTAGAACAGGGCCTGGACTGGGCCGCACGGGCGCTGTTTCTGGCCGCGCGGGCGCGGGCCGCGCGGGCGCGGGGCAAGCGAGAGCACTGGCATCGGCGATTCTGAGCCCGCCACCGCGATTGCCCGCGCGGTGTCCTCGTTCCTGTGCGGCGCACTGCCGCCCAAGGCCGTGGTGGGCTGCCGCCCAGAATCGCGGCGTCGTGTCGCACAGTGCCGTGGAGGTCAACCCTGGCGGCCCAGCTGGTGGCGCTACGCAAGCCTTCCAGGGGGCCTGCGACCCATCGCTCCAGGCGGGGTCGTCCGCCAGCTAGCTGCGCAGGCTGCCTGCGGGGGAGTCGAAGAAGGGACTGGGAGCGCATGCGGTGCTCATGTGTGTGTGTGTGTGCCGTTGGGGGGATGAGGGAGGAGGAGCGAGGAGGGAGAAGGGATAAGGGGGATGAGAAGGGAGGAGAACGAGGGGGGGAGGAAGAGGAGGGGGAGAACGAGGGAGTGGGAGAACGAGGGACGGGGGAGAACGAAGGCCTCCACCACCTCTCAAGCCCTCCCCAATGCCTTCGGACGGCGGCGTGGGCAGCAGCGCCGCGGCAGCGACCCGTGCACGGTGGCGGGATGGGCCGGATGCCACCTGATGAAGTCGCATCGGTCGGGCGACACCTGCGCCTGTTCAGTAGTTCGACTCGACTGAACTCGCGCCCTGCGCAGTCACACTGGTCCAAAGAAGGGGAAGGTGACGTACTAGACGCAGGGCCGCGGGCCCGCCCACGGCAGTGAAGGAATCTGTAGCGACGAACACCCCAAGGTTCAGTCTGTGGAGCAACGGTCTTCGAATTCAGCCCGCGCTCCGAAGCCCGCACAATGTCTGTCCGGCTTTGGCTGCACGTGCCGACGAAGCCGCCGGCCCACCCATTTGCAAGGCGCGCTATGCGGTTTCTCTTGACAATTCGATCCGGAAGTACAGGGGCGCAAAGGGGAAGGGGGCGAGAAGGAAGCGAGAAGGGGGCGAGAAGGGGGCGAGAAGGGGAAGGGGGCGAGAAGGGCGCGAAAAGGGCAAGGGGGGCGAGAATGGGGCGAGGAGGGGGAGGACAAGGGGCGCGAAGAGAAGGGAGGGGGGAAATGGGCGAGAAGGGGAAGGACAGAGGGAAGGGGGACAGCGGGGGCGGCGGGGAGAGGGAGGCGGGGCCTGAGGGTCCGACGGCTTCTGGTTCTTGGCAGGCACGAGCGGCTTTGGCGCCTCCAATGGTGCGATCTCCATCGGCCTGTTGTCTTCCTCCACGTTCCCCTTCCCCTTGCGCTCGTTGTCCCTGCGGGCAGGATTTAGGGTTTAGGGCTTGGGGTTTGGGGTTTAGGAGGGGGAGAGAGGAGACGCAGGCAGTCTACGTGGAGTCGGCGTCCACACGGCGGCTGACGGGCGGATGGAGGGCGCAACTCCTGCTCCGCCCCCAGTTGTCCCTCCTCTTCATTCTCCTGCTCATCATCATTACCATCAAGTTCATCAGCATAATCAGCATCATCATCATTGTCAACATCCTCCTGCTCATCATCACATTCAACATCATCAACCTTACCGTCATCAGACTCATACTCATGTTCCTATTATTATTCCGGCCCACATCCATACGTGCATGCAGACTGCTAATCTCAATCGGATTCATACTCATAGTTGTAGTCATATTCACGCATGACCATAGTACCAGGCTCATCATCCTCATCATCATCATAATATGATTCACCATCATCATCATCATCATCATCATCATCATCATCATCATCATCCTCAGCAACATCCTAAGTAGCACCATCAGCAACAACATCAATCGTCATTGTCATCGTGATCAAACTCCGTGTCCTTCCTCCGCCACGTTTTCGCATCAACACCCTCGTTCTCAAATCGTCATCACCCTGGCCATCATCATCACCACCACCATCATCATCAGCACGGTGGGGCCCGCCACGCTTAGCGCGCACGTCGTCACAGCCATCGTCTGATCCATCATCCTCACCGTCACGCGCGCTGAAGTTCTACCGCACGTCGTGTGGTTGCTGCAATAGCGGTGGTGCCTAGAATATACACAAACGCGAGCCATAGTCGCTTCCATCATTACCCGTCTGCACAATTACCGTCGTCTCCGATTTCCTCCGTAGTGAATACCTACTCCCATATATCATGGCCATCATAACTGTATCAAACAATCAATTTCATCATAGCCATCCTGGCTGGCATCATCGATTCACGAGTGATGGTCATGCGGCGACGTCATGGCCGCGCGTCGTCATTATCATATCCATCGTCCGCAAACGAATCATGATCTTCATTCTCTTTCTGGTTGTCCTCACCATCACCATCACGGAGAAAACACCACGTAAGCCGTTTATATACGTTGTCACAGCCGTGGTCTCACCCAGCGCCACCCTCATCAACACCATGACCATCAACTTTGTCATCGTCGCTGTCGTCAGCGAGATGTTCCCGGAAAGACCTCTGGGAACATCTTGCCTTCGTGGGGTCCTCTTGATACTCCCCCGTCTTCCGAGCCCTCAGTAGTACTCAGCATCACCCTTATCGTACTATTCATGCTCGTCGTGCCAATCACAATTGTCAACCATCATCATCCTGATCATTAAGATCATCAAGATCATCAACATCATCATCATCATCATCATCATCATCATCATCATCATCATCATCATCACATTCGCCATCATGGCTTGCATCACCGGTTCACTGGTGGGAGTGATGCGGCGACGTCAAAGCCGCACGTCGTGATTATGACAACCTTCGTCCGCACCTGGATGAGTATCTCCATTCGCTTTCCCATCATCTTCATCAAAGCCATCACGATTGAAACCACCGCGCTACGCGTCAACGCCGTCGTCCTCCCCATCAGCACCCTCATCTCCATGGTCATCAACTTCGCTCTTATCATCGTCGTCGGCGAGATATTCCCAGAGAGGTTTCCGGGAATATCTTGCCTTCGTGGGATCCTCTGGAACAATTTTGGGTGCTCACGGAATGTCTTGGGGCTCTCCTGTGCCGTCGTATGGGCCTTTGAGGCGCGCAGGTTCTAGCGCAGTCAGGGAGCTCACTGGAAGAGCTTGGACGTATCTGTCATGCACAGGCGCGTGCTAGAGTCACATTCGTCCTCATGGTCATTATCATTCCTAGCGTCTTCCTCATCTTCACGATTTACCAGGATTAGCAATGTCGTCATGCAAAGTCTCATGAACGTATTCATCATATTGCGTTGTAAACATGTTGGGCCTGATGCGGCTGGTGTTCATGCGCGTCAAACTCGCGCATCGAAAGTATCGTCAACATCAGCAACGTGATCGTCGTCATTCGAAACATCCTTACTCTAAACTCCTCATCACCCGTACCATCATCATCACGAACGGCCCGCTACGCTGAGAGTGTACGTCATCGCAGCCATTATCTCATCCGTCATTATATCATCGCGCGCGCTCAGGTTCTAGCGCAAGTCGTACGGTTGCTGCAAGAGCGGTGCCAGCTCGAGTATGCACAAATGCGATCCATCGTCGCTTACATCATTCCACCTCAGCACCATTACCGTCGTCTCCCCCGTCATCCGCATTCTCATTATATTTGGCAACGTCATGGTGGATACTCGGCACTGCCATCATCTTTGTTCAAGATCATCATCATCATCATCATCATCATCATCATCATCATCATCATCATCATCAGCATCATCACCGCCATCCTGGCTGGCATCATCGAGTCACTGCTGTTGGTGATGAGGCGACCTCAAAGCCGCGCGTCGTCATGGTCATAACCATCGTTCCCGCCCGAGTCGTTAGCTTCATTATCCTTCCCAACATCCTCATCAGCATCATAACGACGGCGAACACTACGCGAAGCGTTCACGTCGTCACAGCCGTGGTCTCACCCATCACCACCCTCATCACCGCCATGGTCATCAAATTCGCCATCATCGCCATCGTCGGCGCGATGCTCCCAGCGAGGCCTCTGGGAACAGCTTGCATCCGTGGTGTCCCCCGTCTTCCTCTTCCTCGTTAGTATTCGGCATCATCCTAATGCTTCTACTCATGATGGCCATGGCCATCACAAGTGTCAATAATCACCATCAATACCGCCAGCATTGCTGGTATAATCGGTTGACTGCTGTTGGTGTTGCGGCGACGTCAAAGCCGCACGTCATTCTCACAATGATCGTCCGCACCTGGATGGGTATCTCTATTCGCTTTCCCATCATCGTCCACCGCCGTCGTCTCACCCTTCAGCACCCTCATCACAACCATGGTCATCAACTTTGCTCTCATCGTCGTCGTCGGCGAGATGTTCCCAGAGGGGCTTCTGGGAACATCTAACCTTCGTGGGATCCTCTTGATCAATTTTGGGTGCTCCTGGGGTGTCTTGGGGCTCTCCTTAGCCGTCGCGTTGGCCTTCCATGGGGCTCTGGGTTTTTGTCTGAGGCGACTTTGTGCTCCTCATCTGCCCTGTGAGAGACCCAGAAGCTCCCCAATCCGAAGACCAAAAACCATGGGGCAACGTCATGGGAATGCTAATGTTTGCCTCTTGTCGCCCTTGCCTTTGTGAATACACCAGGTCGACTACGACGATGTAGGGATCTCAACTGTGTCGTCTTGGCAAGGAGTGAAACTACGGGTCCTTTCCAAATAACCCGCGGATTGTATGGGCTACAACGCCAGACACGCAATCGTTGACCCTGCCCTGCGGAAGGCGGAGGACGAGAAGCAGGAGGAGGAGGAGAGGAAAAGGAGGAGGTGGAGGAGTAAGTGCAGGAAGCGGATGGGAACATCTGGATGACGACGACGGCGACGAGGAGTGGAATGATGAAGAGCACTGTCCTGATGAAGAGCACTGTCCAGGTATTCCACCCGAAATATCAACGACATTTGTTGGGGCTTCGTGGCGGTCTCTGGGGAGCCTCGCAAGGGCATGCTGGAGGCGTCTTGGGGGTCTTGCGGAGCCCCCGAGTGGGCGTCTTGGGGGTCACTTGGGGGTCTCTTGGAGCCTCCCGGGGGCCTCTTCCGAGCCTCTCCAAGACTCCGTGGGCCTTCTCGGGGCCTCTTGGGGCCTGCTGGAGCCTGCCAGAAGAATCTTCGGAGCGTCCTGAAAGTTGGGGTCATCTATGGGCCTCTCAAGGGACCCTCTGGGGCCATCTCTGGACTATCCCGAGGCCTCGGAGACCCCTCAGAAGCGGAAAAGCAGAATCTTTAAACTTATATGATGTTTGGTGGTAGTCTCTTGGAAGCCTCTCGCGAGCCGCTTGGGAGCCTCTTGGGGCGAGCTTGAGCTTTCTTGGGCCACCTGGACGCAATGTGGTGCCGTCTTGGTGACCCGTCTTGGCTCCCTGGGAACGCTTCTGGCGCCCCGGTCCCCCCATGGAGGCTTAAGGTCCCAAGGTTTGGAACCGCGAGCACCTATCCCGTGAGACATCTATACATATGTACACATATCTAGATATGGAAATATATGTATATACACACACAAATTTTGGAACAAGACACCTGTATATATATATATATATGTACACATACATGCATATGCATATGCATATTCATGTATATATATATGTGTATTATCGATGTAGCCAACCGTGTCGATGTCCGTATGACGCTTCGCTGCTACTACAATCGCCTGGAAAGGCTCTCGCCATTGGCAGTGCTGAACCCAAGCACTGCTCGTCGTTCGGACAATGTGGCTGATAGGCGCACTTTCTTCGAGTACGATGACCGGCACAGGTGCTGCCATGGCTCCTAGTGCAACTACATATGATGTATCCGACCTTGGATCTGTCACGCTGGCATGTCAAGAGGTCGTCGCGCCATCGCCCGTTATACCGACCAACACTACTGCTCAACAGGATCTCGACCATTGACCCAGCACGATAAGAAGATCATTGAGTATCTCTGCAATGCCATGCTGGCATGACATATTGAATAACATTGTCCTCTGCGATCTATGATGCGTCGGCATCGTCAATATTGATTCCCATCCCGCTCACCTGTACTCGTCGACAGCAATTGCGTCACCGTCATCACCGCCATCGACAACGTGACTGCAACCACCATCACCATGACGGTGCCGGGTATTTGCTAAGGCCAAAACTTTTTTCTCTTCAGCTGCCGCTTCTGCTTGTCCGTCAGAGGCATGTTTGGCAGCTGGTTGTCCTTCAGCTCCCTCATTTGGCTAGCCACCTTGAGCAACCGATCACATACGGCACACTGTAAATAACAACAAGAGAAACTGCGAGCTTCGCTGGGAATGGCTAGCGAAGGCGTTATGAAAGAAGGATGATGATTGAAGGTGGACCCGGGGCACACAACAAAATGCATAGACGCACATCCCGAGATTCCTGAGATGTGTCCATATGTTCTGGAGTTTGGTCTCCCCCTCCATTTCCCACAGTTCCCATATTTGTCCCTGGGAATCGACGACCAGTTGTGCCCGTCTCGTCCCCCTCCTCAATGATCCACTGCAGACGGGAGATCGAAGAAGGGCAGTAGAGCAGGGGCAAGGGAGGAAAGGAAACTGGAGGAGGTCGAGGAAAGGAAACTGGGGGAGGGGGCGACCAGCAGGACGAGGAGGCGGGGGGGGGGGGGGGGGGAGAGGGGGGAACGAGAGGGGAGGTCGAGGACGGAGAGGGGGGGGGGGGGGGGGCGACCAGCAGGAAGGACGCGGAGGAAGGGGGGGAGGGAGAAGGGGGGGGGGAAGGCCGGGAGGGGGACGCGGAGCGGGGGCGGGCCTCCTCGGCGGGCGGCGGGACTCCTCGGAGGCCCTGCCACCAGGGCCTCGGGGGAGGCCCTCCCAGGGCCTCGGGGGGGCGCCTCGGGGAGGGCTCCGCGGGGAGCGGGAGGCATCCCGAGCCTGCCGAGGAGGCCCGCTCCCTCGCAGTCCCCCCCCCCACCCCCTGGGCGCGCCTCCGAGGAGGAGGAGAGCTGGCAGCAGGAGGGCGGCAACGACGCGGAGGGGCGCAGCGAGGAGGGCGAGGGGAGTACAGCACGACGAGGGGAGCCGGGGCAGACAGTGCGCGGGGGTGGGCAGCGGAGGCGAGCGGGAGGGAAAGGGAGACAGGAAGCACGAGAGGCAGCGGGGGAGGTGAGGGGGGAGGGGATGGGAGAGGGGGGGAGGCGAGGGGAGGCAGCGTGTATCGACGGCGCGCCGAGGGTGAAGCGAGACGTGGCAGGCCTTCTCGGAGGGCGGAGGGGCTTCACAGGAGCCCTCCGGCCCTCTGAGAAGCCGTCTGCGGCTTGGGGGAAGGCTCAGAAAACTTCTCAGCACGATCGGGAAATGTGGGGAACGATCTTGGCCAAATGCAAGAAAACGGAAGGGAAAGGGGGGAAGGGAGGTGGGAACGGGAACGGCGAATTAGAGGATTCTCTCGCGCTCGGTATGCTGATTTGCCACTTCGCCGGGTGCTTGAGCACTTCACCGGCTGCCACAATTCAGTGGGCGATGCGCCGATTGGTCACGTGTACGTCCAAAGTTGTCCAGCCTGGGGGCCAAACAAGTGGGTTGTATGTATGTACGCATGCATGTTTGTCTGTATGTATTGATGTATTGATGTATGTATGTATGTGTGTATGTATATTTGTATGCATACATGCATGCATGTATGTATGTATGTATATATGTAGGTAGGTAGGTAGGTAGTCAGGTAAGTCGGTAGGTATGCATGCATGTATGGATGTATGTATGTATGTATGTATGAGTATGTATGTGTATGTGTGTATGGTTATGTACATATGTATGTAAATATGTATGTACGTACGTATGTGTGTATGTATGCATGTATACATGTATGCATATATGTATACATGTATGTGTGTATGTATGTATGTATGTATGTATGTTTGTATGTATGTATGTATGTATGTATGTATGTGTGTATGTGTGTATGTATATGTGTATGTGTGTATGTATGTATGTGTGGTGTATGTATGCACGTATGTATGCATGTGTGTATGTATGTATGTATGTATGCATGCATGCATGTATGGATGTATGTATGTGTGTATGTATATATGTATGTATGTATGTATGGATGTATGTATGTGTGTATGTATTGATGTATGTGTGTATGTATGCATGCATGTTTGTATGTATGTATGTATGTATGTATGTATGTATGAATATACATATATGTATATATGCATGTATGTGTATGATTGCGTGTATGTATGTATGTATGCAGGTATGTTTGTGTATGTCTGTATGTATGGATGTGTATATGCATGTATGTGTGTACGTAGGTGTGTGTATGTCTGTATGTATGCATGCATGCGTATGCATGTATGCATGCATGCATGCATGCATGCATGCATGTATGTATGTATGTATTTACTTATGTATGTGTGTGTGTGCGTAGGCGTGTGCGCGTGCGTGTGCGTGCGCGTGCGCGCGCGTGTGTGTGTCTTTGTCGAGTCTGTACCCCTCTGACGAAAGGTCCTGTCAATGCAGGCCCAGCACACTCAGTGGCGCGCATCAAATGGAGATTGGCGGAGACCCACGTGCGGGGCGGACGCTGGCAATTCCTCCCAAGAGGGTCCTCTCCCCACCGCCGCGCACCTTGCCGAGAACTCTCCCGGGGCGCCTGACTCGTCCCGCCCGACGACGGCCTCACCGGGTCGCCCCCCCGGCGGATGAGAAAAAATCTACTTCAGGACGACGATTTTGAATCGCCCCCTCAGGTGTCAGCACGCCCTCCGTGCGTCGGGGTGCTACCCTCGCTGGATGCGCCCCAGGCCGCGGGGAGGGCGCCGGTATCTCCCGACGGTACACCTATTCGGTGCCCCCCCTGCTCTGTTTATTGGAACCCCGTCGACGCGCTCGGTGGTGCGAGGGACGACGTGGACGGGCGGGGGCCCACTACCCCCACCCAGGCCCTGGGGAGGGCTTCTCTTCCTCCCGTCGATACACCTGTGCGGTGTCCCCCCTACCCCGCCGCCCGCTGCCCGGGCCCCGGCGCTGCCGGAGACTGGCCGGACCTGGAGGCGACGCTGACCCCCACAGAAGAGGCCTCGACACCCTCAGCGGTGACACTTCGAGTCTGCACCCCCCTGACAGAAGGTGCAGCCAATACACCCCAGGCACACCCACTGGCGCGCATCACCACGGAGATGGCGGGGCGGGCGCTGGCAATTCTCCCCAGGAGGGTCTTCTCCTCGCCGCCGCGCACCCTGCCGAGAACTCTCCCGGGGCGCCTGACGCGTCCCGCCCGACGACGGCCACACTGTGTTGCCCCCCCGTCGGAGAAGACTTACAGAGGAGGGCGGGCATTGGCCCTGGTGGCGGGAAGCAGGAGAAGTTGGCGGCGAAGACCACCAACAACCCCCGGCCACGGGCCCCTCCCAGGCGAGGAGATGAGAAGCAGAAGAGGCTGGCGACGGGGATCGCCAACTACCCCCCATCCACGGTTGCTTGCATCGACATGAGACAGAGGTGCCCCCATGTTGGACAAGCGCACCCTGTGCAGGGACCACCTAGCCTATACCACAGCTGCGCCGTCCCGGACCCAGCGGTCAGCCGGGCCCCCTCCCCCTGGTGTCCCGCTGGGCTCAGGGAGGGCGCGCGCCTGCCCTCAGACTCTTGTTCGGCGACGCCTCTGCCAGGATGAGCGGTAGCACTAGGGCTGCGGGCGCGGGGAGAGGGTCCTCCTCGCCGCCACGGAAGGATAGTAGAACGGAGGGGCACCAACGCGGACACCCTAAGCGACACTCGTCGCCACGGCTGGAAATCGGTACTCGGATGCACCGTCCTATGCATGTGGATCGCGCGCCGCAGTCCAGACGGGGCGGCGCCTGGCTGCCCATTTTGCGTCCCGCCGAGACTGCGGTGACCCGGCCGCAGGGCGATGCCGACGGGCATCGCGACTAGTACCCCCCGCCTTCCACGGTCGTTTCTCCTCACACACCTGCCCAAGCGGCGACGAACGCTGGCAGCTCTAGCACCGAGGATTACCACAGTACCCCCCAGGACGGGGAGCAGGACGGGGAGCGCATCGTCCCCGTCCCAGCTGTCTTCTGCCACGACCCCCTCAATGCCAACGGAGCCCTGGCAGCCACAATCCAGGAGATGCAGCGAGCAGGCGGTGAGCCCAGTGCGGCCTGGGCCAGGTATTGCACGCACGGTGGGGGCATCAGAGACCCCGGCCGACACGACGCTGCCTGCCGTCGCAGCTTCCTCTCCACCTTCTGGCCTCGTCGCCGCCCCTGATTCTCGCGCGGCTGCACCGCTACGGCAGTGGGTTGGCCTGCGGGCCCCCACCCATGCTTGGCGGCGCGCACAAGGGGGTGGGGGGAAGGGGGAGGGCTTCTCAGAAGCAGGCTGCTTCTGAGAAGGCGCCGGCCTTACATCTATAGATAAGGCCCGCGCCTTCTAAGAAGCAGGGGCGCTTCTAAGAGGCCCTCCCCCCTCCCCCCACCCCCCTCTGCGCGTGGCTGACATGCCTGCCGGCTCCCCCTCTGCCTGGCTTTCGGGCCAGCGCGCGGTCCTCTTGGCAGCTCTGCCGGTGGGGCTGCTCGCTCGCTGCTCCCCCCGCGGTCCCTTCCCTTGGGTCCCCTGGCCGCCCGCCCCCCCGCGCCTCGCAGGTCAATGGATCTCGGCGTCCTCCGCCCCGACTGCTGGGCCCTTGCCAGCTCCGTTCCGGCCCCCCATCTGGAGTGGTCACTGTCGGCTGCTCACTCGCTGGGAAGGTCAGAAGCTCCCAGTGCTTCGCCGCCTCGCTGTCCGACGCGTCCTCCCCCCATCTGGTGTGGTCACTGTTGGCTGTTCAGCCGCTTGGAAGGTCAGAAGCTCTCAGTGCTCAGCCGCTCCGCACTTCGACGCGTCTTCCCCCCCTGGGCCAGCGCCAGCCAGGCTGCCCTCGGGCTGCCTCCCCCCAGCTGCTGCCCCGGCGCCGCCGCTGGCTCCCCCCCCGGCGCCCGCCCTGCCGCCGCCGGGACTTGCTCTGAGTGGGCTCGGCTTACTCTCTCTCTCTCTCCCGCCCGCGCCGGGCTACCTCTCTCTCTCTCTCGTGTGCACCGCGGCCCAATCTGCAGTCTGTGCGCCCGCCTGATGCCATATCGCCGGAGCAGTGACCTCTGCCCAGCCGCCAGCGCAAAGTGTGTGTGTGTGTGCTTGTGTTTGAGTGCGTGCGTGCGTGCGTGCGTGCGTGCGTGCGTGCGTGCGTGCGTGCGTGTGTGTGTGTGTGTGTGTGTGTGTGTGTGTGTGTGTGTGCGTGTGTGCGTGTGCAATATGTGAATGACGCCGCATATGTCGCCGGATCTGAATGTGATGGAACATGTGTGGTGCAACCAATGCGGGCAATACTTCTGGTCCGATCTGCGCATGGCGCACACTATGTGGAGCAATGTGTTTGTTGCAAACTATTCGTTGCCACTTGTGTGGCGCACCGAGGGCACAATAGAGCAGCGAAAGGGAGCTCACGGCGGTGAGGAGCCGAACACCTGGCACGCACACACACACACACAGGGCACCTGAGGGCACCAAGCGTGCCCAGACGTGGCGACGAGCCGAGGAAAACTGGCACGCACTCGCGGCTATGCGCGTCCACCTCCATACCGACGACGACAGAAGGGGGTGACCACCAAGGAGGCGGAGGAGAAAAAGAAGCGAAGGGGGAAGGGGAGAGGGAAAAAAAGGACGGGGGAGCACCGTGATCATTTAGGCAGTGTGCTGGGCGGAAAACAGAGGCGGTGGGACTGAAAGGGGCCCGCGCCAAACTGCAACAATCATAGGGACAACATTCGTCGCTCCCCCGCGCGCCACCACTGCAAAGTCCTCGGGCTCGGAGCCGTCGTCGGAGGCCTCCGCGCGCCGGGGCTGCATGGCGAGGGAGGGGACAGCAGGAGGGGGACGCGCGACGGCGGCATCCGCAGGGTCACGCGGGCGTCGGCCGAAATAACTGCCCTGTCCCCACGGCGACTCCAGCGCGAGGCTGTGGACCAAAGACCCACGACGTCCGATCGCTGTCACCTTTAACCGCCGCGCGGCCCCAGGGAGGTCCCGACCCCCTCTCTCCTAGGGCCTGGCCTTCTTCATCCCGGGCCCATGCTTAATTGAGCCACGGTGCCCGAGACCGGGCCCCAGAGGCCGAAATCGAGCAGAGGAAAGGAAAAGTATAATCATCCTCCTCCTCCACCTCCTCTTCCTCCTCTTCCTCCTCCTCCTCCTCCTCCTCCTCCTCCTCCTCCTCCTCCTCCTCCTCCTCCTCCTCCTCCCCCTCCTCCTGCTCCTGCTCCACCCGTTCCTCCTCCCCCTCCTCGCCCTCCCCCCCCATCCTCCGCTTCTTCCCCCTTCCTCGAGCAGGCACGAGGAGCACCGGCCCGCCGCGCTCTGCAGGCAGCGGCGGCGGCGCGTCGCCCGCGCGCCGCCCCCGCCGGGCGGCGGGCGCCTCCGAGCCCGCCGGCGCCAGCGCGCGGGAGCCAGAGCTCGGCGTCAGGCCCTGGCCGTGGGAGGCGCTCGAGGCAGGGGCGGGGGGCGTTCGAGGCTCTGGCCAGGGGGGGGCGCTCGGGGCGGGGGGCAAACGGGGGTAGCTGTGCGAAGGGAGGAGGAGTGAGGAGGGGTGGGAGGAAGAAAGAAGAGGAGAAGGATGAGGAGGAGGACGAGGAGGAGGAGGAGGAGGGTGAGGAGGAGGAGGAGGAGGAGGAGAGAGGAGGAGGAGGAGGAGGAGGAGGAGGGGAGGAGGAGGAGCAAGAGGGGGAAGAGGAGAAACAACAGAAGAGCGATGATGATGCTGCTGATGATGATGGCGGTTATGATCCAGCTTTCGAAGGGAGGTCGGAGCCGAAGCGTTCACGCCCACCACGTCTCTCCGCCGACTGCCGTGCCACCGATGCCCGCGCTACTCTCTCACGCGTGCTAGCAGCAAGCTCCTCTGACAAGCAAGGGGCATGAAAGGGCGAGCGCTCAAGCCCGCACGGCTCCTGCCTCACTCCACCCGCCGCGGCTCCGAAACAGGCCCATCTGCTTCTCAGCCTCCAAGAGTACGGCCTCATCCTCGCTGCGCTCCATCTCGACGTCCATCATCGAGTCATCGTCCGCCGACCCCAACGGGTCGCCATCCAGAGGTCCTCCACGCGGATGTAGTTGGCGACCGCCACCTCTCAGCGGCGCTCCGGGGGGCCTGCTGGCAGTTCCTCGACCGCTGCCTCCAAGCGCGCCCAGAGGTCAAAGTTGACCGTGTCCAAGGTTGGCGGCACGTCGCCGTCGCTCTCAGGGTCGGGCGCGACCGTGGCACCGACGCTGGGCTCGTCCTCGCCGTACTGCCCCACGTCCTGCGCCCCGTCGTGCTCGCCGTTGTGCTCCACGTAATCGCCGCCCTCGGATGCGCCCCGAACCCCAGACTGGGCCTCGGCGCCGAGCGAGGGGACATGGGACACCGCTGGCATGGAGGGAAGGTCTGCGCCCGCCTCCGCCTCGCGGTGACCCTCGGCCTCCAGCACCACCTCGGGGCCCCGCGGGTCGCAGTGCGCACCCACCTGGCCGATGCTCCCGCGGACCATGTCGTTCTCGACTTCGGCGCCCTGCACGCTGAACTCGTCCTCGCCATGCAGCCTCGGGTTTTGCGCCATGTCAAGCTTCCCGCGGCGTTCCACGTCCAGCTTGTTGCTAGGCGCGACCGCCAGGTCGCTTCATGCCGACACCCGCGCGCCCTTTCTGGCACGGAGCAGCGCTGCAGCAGGGGCCGTCTCCAGCGGCCACGGCACCACGGTCGAGTGGAGCGCCACGTTCCTCCGCAGCCTGTCGACGGGCGACGCGGCCTTGTCGTGGACCAGGTCGTGCAGGTGCCCCGCCACCACCGCGAGGCGGTCCGCAATGGAGGGGTCCCCAAACGCCGCCGCCGCCAGATTCTCGCATCTGCCCCTCCAGAACTTGACCGCCCTCTGCAGGTCGTGGACAAGCACGTCCCCCGACCAGCGTACCCAAGCCTCGCTTGCACGTCTACGCTGCCGCTGCGCCGCACCCGGGCCCAACGAGCCGTCACCTGCGTCCTCCCAAACCGCGCCATCCGCCGAGGGCCGCTAGCCCACTGGCTTGAGCCAAAATGGCTACGGATGGTAATTGTAATGATGATGATGCTGATGATGATGATGATGATGGTGATGATGCTGATGATGACAATACAATGATGGCGATGATGATGGTGATGATGATGATGATGATGATGATGGTGATGATGATGATGATGATGATTCTGATGATGATGATGCTGCTGATGATGATGATGATAATGACAATGATAATGATGGTGATGATGCTGATGATGACGATGATGGCGATGATGATGATGATGATGATGATGATGATGATGATGATGATGATGATAATGATGATGATGATGATGATGATGATGTTGCTTATTATCAGGTTGATGGAGAAGAAGATGGTAATGATGATGATGATGATGATGATGGTGATGATGGTGATGATATTCATGATGAGTATGATGATGCTGATGCTAATGCTGATGCTGATGCTGATGATGATGATGATGATAATGGTCATGATGATGATGATGATGAGGAGGAGGAGGAGGAGGAGGAGGAGGATGAGGATGAGGATGAGGATGAGGATGAGGATGAGGATGCTGATGATGATGACGATGATGAGGAGGGAGGATGAGGCGGAGGAGGAGGAGGAAGAGGAGGAGGGAGAGAGGAAGGTGGAGGAAGGAGAGAGGAGGGAGGAGGAGGCCGGGAGGGGCGCTCGACGGGGAGGAGCAGACAGGGGTCAGCCCCTGAGATCCTGTCGCTGCACTCTGCTCTCAGCGGGCGTTTTCAACCAGTTTCGGGCCGCAGGCACCTCAGAGATCAATCCAGCTCGAAACATGATGCACAAAGAGGGGGTCCAGGGCTCCAGTCGTGATGTTGTCCGATGATGTGTCTACTTTGCAACCTCAGATCTCAACGGTCGGAGGAGGGCCAGCCGGCCAAGGAAAGGGAGCTGACGGGGAGTTGCGAGGAGGGTCAGCGAGGCGCCCCGGACTGGGACACGCCAGGCGCGCCATCACGCGCCCCTGCGCGCGCCAGCAGATCCCCGGAAATTGTCCACGGGGGCCTGGTGGGGCCTGACTTTCTCGCGCGACGGGGGTCGACTTTCGGAGGATGTCTCGAACGAGATCCCAGACTGGGACCCGCTTGGTGCGCTTCGGCGCGCCCCAGCGCGCGCAGGCAGATCCCTGGGGGCGCTCTGGGGCTTGATTCTCTCGCACGCCAGAGGTCGACGTTGGGAGGATACCTAGAGCGAGAGCCTGGGACAGGGGCACGCACGGTGCGCCCCGGCGCGCCTCTGAGGGCCTCCTTGGGGAGGCTCGCGATCCCGGCTTTTCGAGGATGCCCCACGCAAGCTGGTTTGGATTCCCACCTTTCCTGGATTCAGCGAATGAGGAGGCCTCTGAGGGCCTCCTTTGGGGAGGCTCGGGGGGCGGGTCTTCCGGTGGTGTCCCACGCGAGGGCGCCAATCTGGAATTCGTCGCCAGCTTTCTCAGACTTGCCGGCTTTCTCAGAAACGGAACAAGGGGGCCTGTGAGGGCCTCGGGGCGGCTCGGGGGGCCGGTTCTCGGGAGATGTCCCACGCGGAGGCGCCAGTTTGGAATTCGTCGCCGGATGTCCCAGCAACGGAACAGGGGGCCCTCTGAGGGCCTCCTTGAGAAGTCTCGGGGGGCAATTTTTTGAGGATGTCCCACGCGAGGGCGCCGGAGTGGAGTTCGTCGCCGGATTCCCCAAAGATCTCAGATTTGCCGGAAACGGATCGGGGGGGGGGGGGCAGTCGGCGGGCTCGTTCCCTCGCGCGCCGGGGGTCAGGACGACGTCAATTCTCAAGACAGAACTCCCTCAAATCGTGAAGGGGTTAGGATGAAGTCGGGCGTGTCCCCCTACAGGGGGATTTTCGACGAAAAATAAAAAATGCACCAAAAATACCCCGAAAGGGGCAACAAATACTCAAAAAATAGTCCCCAGACTATTTTTGGATTTGTTTTTGTTTGTTTTTTATTATTATTTTTGGGGTAATCAGTTCGTCGAAAATCCCCCTGTAGGGGGACAGGCCCGACTTAAGTTCAGGAGCAAGAGAATAAGCGGCAAACCCAAACGGGTGGGCCGGGCGGGCCGAGCCTGCCGAGCGGGTCGAGCGGGCGGGCCTCCACGGCAGGGCCGAGCGGGCGCAGGGAGCGTCAGCCACGCGTGGATGGCGAGCAAAAGCTGGAGCGATAGCACGATCTCCAAAACGAAGCGCGAGGAAGTCCAAAGCGAGAGCGTGATTCCGAAACGTCGAGGGCGCGGCGTAGGAGCACACTGGCAGGCCATCCCGAGCGAGGGCGCGAGCCCCGAAACAAGTGGGAGGAGATCTTGTGTGTGAGAGCGCACGTTAGAAGAACTTGTGGGGGGTATCAGGCGTGATCCGTTGAATTCTTCTTGTAAAGAACACATGTTGCTCATCCCCTCCGGTGTACTTATATCTGTCCCATTGAATAGCCCACCTGGTGCTCGCACCCTGTTTTCTACAAGGGGGAGAGCTGCTGTTCAGAGTTACCACAGCCAGCCCAGCGCTTCCTCACCCACCAGCCAGCGCGACCCCCCCCCGCCCGACCTTTGGTATTTCGGTACGGCACGAGCTCCGCGCCGTCACTTGCGCACCCACGGCCACCCCAGCTCTTTGCCCGCCAGCCAGCGCGCTCTTTCCGCCCCAACCATTTACTTCGTCATGCCACCAGAGCCCAGACCGCCCCCGTGCCCCCCACAGCCAACCAGGCTCCTCGTCGCCCCACAGCAGGCGCGCCCCCTCCGCCCCAACCGTTCTTTCGGCACGGCGCCGGCGCCGCGCCCGCCCCGCTCCCCCTCTGCAGCAAGCCCACCTCCTCCCCCCCGCCATCCAGCGTGCCCTCGCCGCCCCGACCCTTGGCGCGGCACCCGCGCCGCGCCCGCCTCCCTATCCTCATCTCCGCAGCCAGTCGCCCTCCCCTCCCCCACACAACCAGCCCAGCTCCTCCTCGCCAGCCGGCGCGCCCCCTCCGCCCCGACCTTCTTCACTTCAGCACGCCACCGGCACCGCGCCCCCTGCCCGCCCACGGACAGCCCAGCCCTTCCTGGCCCACCGTGCAGGACGCCCCCTCCGCCTGATTGTCTCGTTCAGGAACGGCACCTGCATCGCGCCGCCCATGGCGCCCCCACGGCCACCCCAGCCCCCCCTTGCCCACCAGCTGGCGCGCTCCGTCCGCCCCGACCCTTCTTCCTTTGTCATGTCATTGGCGCCGCGCCCCACCCCTCCCACAGCCAGTCGAGCTCCTCCTCGCCCACTAGCCAGCGCGCCTCCTCCGCCCCGATCGTTCAAAGTCGGCACAGCATCAGGGCCGCCCCCGTGCCTCCCCCCACAACCAGCCTTGCTACTCCTCGACCGCCAGCCACCGCGCCCCCTGCGCCCCGACCCCCCTAATACACTCACAACCCCAGTTCCTCCTCGCCCACCGTCCAGGGCGCCCCCCGGCGCCCCGACCTTTTTACTTTGGCACTGTCGGCCCCGCAAATCTGCCCCCTCGGTTCCGCCGTGGCCCCCGGCTGTCTCGGCCGTCAAAATCCCGAACCATCGTCCTGCCCGCCTAGCAGACCACGGTTCGCCGTCAACGCCTCTGTGACTGCTTTTGATCCCTCCCCTTCGTTCCCTCCTCGTCCACTTAACTCCCTTCCGTGCTCCCAGCGCTTTCCTTTCCTTTTTGTCCTCCCCCCTCCTCGTCACCCTTCCCCCGTTCTCTCTCCTTGTCCTCCGTCTCCGTGTCCTCTTTCTCTCCGTCGCCACTTGCCCCCCCCCTCTTTTCTAGCCCCTCATGATCCACCCCCTCTTCCTCCTCCTGTTCCTCTTTCTCGTCCTCCCTCTCCCCTCCCCCTCCCCCTCCCCCTCCTCCTCCTCCTCCTCCTCCTCCTCCTCCTCCTCCTCCTCCTCCTCCTCCTCCTGCTCCTCCTCCTGCTCCTCCTCCTGCTCCTTCTCCTCCTCCTCCTCATCATCATCATCCTCCTCGACTCCCCCTGCTTCCTGTGTGCAAGAACCATGGCACGCGCGCAATGTGTCGAAACACCGCGCCCCAGACATCCACGATTCACGCCCTCGCTCTGGACTGCATCAAGATTTACTTGGAATCGCGCTGTCGCTCGAGATGCCCCCGCGATTCGCGCAAGACTGACGCTTCAGCGACCCGCTCGCTCGACCTGGCCGTCTGAGCACGCCCGCCCGACCCGCCCATCAGGGTCCGCCCTCCTGCCCCGCACGTCTGGCTCTGCCGTTTGATGTGCGGTTCCTGCCCTCTTCCTGCTAATATCTATCGTGTTCCGTCCTGCTCCCTCACCCTCGTGCCGCCTCCCTCCCTCCCTTCGCCCGTTTTAGGGGCGGCGCCAACTACACGCGGCAGATAATGAAAAGATGCCTCGCAGGGGGGCGCGATCGAAGACGAAGAGGGAGAGCATCGAGGGCTCGGGATGTACATGCTCAATGGCACGCGAAGAGATACGAGCGGAAAGTCTTGAAATGGTTAGTGTTGTAGTTCGGGGGCCAACCTCACAGTCTGACGCGCGAGACTTCCCCTTGCAGAGAACAAGGTGAAAGCCCCAGAAGGGGCACTTCAATTGAAAAACACCAGGTTCACCAGAGGTGGGATCAAATCTAGAAACGAACAGTCAAAAACAACAACAGCATCAATAACGTCATCACCACCACCACCACCACAAACATCACTGTCACCATCGCCATCGCCTTCGGCGCCGCCATCAGTACCACCGTCATCATCACCATTACAAGCATCATCGCCGTTACCACCAGCATCACCAACACAATCATCATGACCTGTATCACTATCGCTATCACAATAATAACCATCATCATCAGCAGCACCACCATCACCATCGCCATCGCAAGGATGTCCACACTCAGCATGATCATCACCATCCGCAGCCATGTTGGCTCAAGATGATGCGATCAAGGCAGATGTCTGGTCCCATGTGGCTGGCTCTAGCCGCCGCGTCACCTCTTGGGTTAGATTCCCATTCGACCAAGCTTTCAGCGAGGCCTTCGCGGCCACAGTTCTTTCATACCCATAACCTTTCCGACAGCCGGCCTCAATCGCCCGATTGGGAGCCCAGTTCGCGCGGGCTCGACCAATGGCAGGTGGAGGTGGTGCTCGAGGTGCTGCGCGTGGTGGCGGCGGCAAAGGCGGCAGAAAACGGGGGCGATGAGGAGGGGGTCAGCCAGGCGGCGGCGGCGGTGCAAGCAGCCGGCCCAAGGCCTGGGACTGCCCTCGGTGCGGAGCCAAGAAGGAGCGGGGTTCCAGGCGCACATGTCGGAGCTGCGGTTATGATTGGTGGGAGCAAAGATCTGGTGCAGGCTCATGGTGGAGTGGCATGTCACCACTGGACGCCAAGGAACGCCACGAGCTCAACCAGCTGCACAGAAGGCCAAGAAGCTCGAGAGTGTCACTCAGTCCGCAGGCGCTGGTGGCGGTGCGGTGGGCGGCGGCGACGGGCAGCAACCACCGAAGAAGGACGAGCGAGTACGGCGATTTGAGAAGCTATGAAGGGGGTGGAAGGCACGGAAGAGATCCTGAGTACCAAGCGAAGGGGGGCACAGCAGTTGGATCACGAACTCTCCGAGGAGAAGCCCACGCCCGTCCAACTCAGCGAACTCGAGCGCAAGCAGGAGAACCAGCAGAGCACAAGGGAGGCACTGGAGCACAAGATCTCGGCAACCACACGGGAAATCGAGAACCTCCAGGCGCAAAAGCTCGAGCTGCAAAGGAAACGCGAGCAGAAAAAGGCCACGGAGACTGCGCTTCAGGCCCACATCGACAATCAACTGGCCAAGTGCCGACGGGAGCGAGGGGGCGCCCTTCAGCTTGCAGGCGCAGGGGCAAGAGCAGCAGGAGCAGCGGCCGCGGCACCAGCAGCCGAGCCCTCTGAGGGCGAGCGCGCCACCGCCTTCTTGGCGGCGCTCGACCAAGCCTCGGGGATGCTAAACGCCGGGTGCGCAGCTCGATGGGATGAACAAATCTCTGAACTTCGACGGCTGGCTCAACGCGGCGCCTCGGCGGGTGCAGCCGCGGAGCGCGACGCCGCCAGCGGCGATGAACAGGAGCTGGACGAGGCCGACCTGGGCAACGCGTCTACGACGGGAGGGCCACGATCACCATCGTCGACGGTGTGGTGCCAGGCGGCTTCATGCTCGAGTCAGTACACCTCGACAACGACGACGTCGGCGAGACCAGCAAGGCGGTGAGAAACAGTTCTTCGTCTTGCGGTCCTAAACGGGATGCCAAAAGTGCCAACATTCCTCTGCCATGTCGTCGCCGTCGTTTGCCTTTACCCTTGCCTATACCCATTACCCTTTGTTCTGAACGCCCGCGGATAGTACGTCGTATATGACGTATTGGTTTCTTCATAAAGCGTCTTCGACGGCGATTGTGTGTTTGGTATCCTAGAAATAACCATTGCGCCGATTGCTCTTCTGTGAGATACGTAGGCATGTCGGAATAGTCTACGGTGCCAGTTCCGTCATATGATGAAGTCTCGGTGTCTGTACCAGAGTCAAATTCAGACTCGGCGGATTGCCCCGCTGAGCCTACAAGGGTAGTGGCCTGGGCACGGGCCGCCGTTGCCACGGTCCCTGATATCGAACCCAGGAGTCTTGCGACCCCGTATGTTGGCCACCATGTTGAGCATATAAGGTGGGAGCTTCTGTTGGTTGTGGATCCTCGTTCCGCACGTTTGTAACAGGTTGTCCTGCATTGGCATCAATATGAAAAGGTTTCGGTACGATGACCGTGGCTAAATATACAACCAATGTAACCAGGGGTTCGCTCGGCAATGTGAGCATAGGACCGCATGCGTTCTAGTAGAACGTCAAATTGTTGGTTTGTCCTTGGCATTTGGTGGTTGAGTGGTTGTACCAGCTATTGTGCACGCGACGTGCCCACTCCCAGAGCCCTGAACAGGATGACTGTTAGGATCTGGGAGTTGGGGATTCTAGACTGTAACAAATTAGTGCTAATGAGGAACATGATGTAGGTGACGCCGTCAGTGTGGCGACCACCGATGTTGGCGCCAAAATTGATGGATCCAGAAAGTAGTCTCATGGCTATGGTCCTTGCGAGCCCTGCCAGACCGCGCGCTGTAATGCTGCGGCCTATGGTCGCGTTGATCCAGGCGTGTGCCTCACGAGAAAATTCGCGAAAAGGTACATTGCCGGCAAGGTCCCACTGGGGGCCGGTTGAACGTGCGTCGTATCCGCCACGCTGCATGCGTCCCACATTACATCCGATAGCGACCCAGAAGAGGCCGCAGATGGTAATACCAATCCTGTGGCCCCTTAGGTCGTGGTCGGACGTTTGTGGTTTGGGGGTGTGGTGTGTTGTAGTTCGTCTGCGTGGGGGTGGGGGCGGCACAATGTCGTATCGCACGTTACCATGCGTTGCGTCTTCAAACAAGTTTCAAATTGGAGTAGGAAGTTGGACTTCAGGAGTGTAGTAGCGAAGGGAAATGGGACTCATGTAGGAAGCCTCCGCGAGAACGGAGGTAGCACCGCAAGTGTCCTTGTGCGTAGTTATGTACATCCCTCCGCGCAGACCCACTGCACCCTGATGTTCCTCCATGTCAGCAGTACACCAGATATTGCCGTGGATGGTGAGGAGTAGAACTAGAGCTGACCACCATAGGCCAGCTCCACTACCAAGTTTGAAGGGGGCTGGGAGGCTCAACCATACGCTTCGCCTAAGGCGAAGCCCATGTCCAACTCTGTTGTACCGTAGTAACGATAGTCCCAGAAGTAGGATATCGTCGCGGGAGCGACGGGCCATGTCAAGCGAATATGTTTTCGGTCCACCTGGCAAGTAGTGTGCGTCGCGATGAGGCGCAGTCATATGTTGGCGGCCGGCCGCTTGAGCACAAACGGCCGTCGACAAACGCTCGTTATCTCTCGCCTTTGCCCCAGATTCCTTTAGAGTCCACCACCATCGCCATCATCATCATCAGCATCATCATCATCATCATCATCATCATCATCATCATCATCATCATCATCATCATCATCATCATCATAATCATCATCACCATCAACACCACCATCACCACCATCCCTCTCCTCCTCGGCTGCCGCTCGGCCAGAGAGGGCGGAGGCCGAGGAGAAGCGGGGGGGGGAAGGCGCCGACGCTGGCCGGCCCCTCCTGGAAGATGTCCTGGCCGAACCAGCGTTCCGCCCGGGCCTCCGCCCTCAGCTGCTCCTCGGTCCGCTCCTATGAAGGGGAGCGATTGGGTGACGAAAGGGCGGAGGAGGAGTAGAAAAACGACGACGACGACGACGCGGAGCTGGCCAAGATTGACCCGGCGGGCGCCAGCGCAGAAACATGCCGAGCGACCAGGATGCTGGCTGCTCAGCTGAGGGCGTCTCCCGAGATACCGTCGTGGAAGAATAAGAGCGGAAACAGCGTCAATGTTCGTGGGTCCGCGCGGATGGAATTCTTGGGTCGTCGCTGGACCCCCCCTCTCAGGGGGCAAAGGGTCAAACAGGGGGGAGGGAGACCATCTAGGGGGGGGGGCGGGAAATCGGCGACACCTCGCTGACAGATCGGCGACGTGACCGCGATGGCGAAACTGGGTAACCGCACGTGAACCCTTCACACCCCACGACGTCTGAAGAGTGGTGGGGGGTGATTTCGCTTGGGTGGTCCCAGACGAAGTGAACCCCCAACCCACCCTTGGAAATCGTGGGTGGCGGGGGGAGGCTTCACGTGTGGTCACCGACAAGCCCCACGGCCCTGGGCCTTGGCGGGCTGCGGGGCTCCCGTCGGCGGCGGCGCTGGGGCGACCGGGGGGGGTCGCTGCACCCCGCCCGGAGCCCATCCCCCCGGGGAGCCCACGAGAGGACGTACCAGCCAAGCGATGCGAACGTCCGCGCACAGCGCAATCTCGAAACCAACGTGCACTCGTGCACATGTACAAAAGAAGCTCAACCACGAGAAGCCTTCCACAAGACACCCGACGCTGAGACCCCAGGACGTCCATTGATCTTTGATGCGGGAACGTCACGCTTCCCATCGCGTAGCCATCGAAGCCCGAGAAACCCAGGGCACGACCCCGTCTCGCCGCGGAAAACAACATCGGGGCGGCAGGTTGTCGGCGTCCGTCGGCCTTCGAAGGCCCTGACTGGGCCCCGGGCTGCCCACAGACCACCGCGACCTGTCCGGGGGCAGAGGTCTGGGCTCTATAGACCTCTGGGGACTCGCGTTGGTTACAACTATGTTTGTCGTGTAGTTGTTTGTTGCCGTCCCCCGCCCCTCCCCTTGAACGGAAAGTCGAGGGGAGCTGGTTGAGCGCTGAAGGGAGGAAGATCTTACGCGCGGGGGCACGGCGACCGTGCGCGGCGGCTTCGGCGCGCCGCTCGCAGGGCAAACCGCGAAGAAGAGTGAGAGAGAGAGAGAGACTGCATGCACGCGGCCCTACACGAGAAGCTCACGCGCGAATTTCTGGGCGGTCGACGCTTAGACGAGGGCAGGATTTGAACAAATTCGGATGCGGATAAAACCCCACCAGCCCTTCAGGGCGTGAGTGGCTAAGAGCATTTCCTCTTCCGTTTTCCCTCTTTCCCTTCGGGGAGGAGTTTACCCCTCCCGCTCCCCCTCCCCTTGGGGCTGGATGGAGGGTTCGCGGGCAATTAGAGCGTCCAAAATGGCCTCGGCGAGGAAGCTAAAATCATGGATTGTACGAATTGTAGTAGAGGTGTCGGCCTCATGCTGTTGGCTTCCTGGGGCGGGACCGCGAATTTACTACGGCCCGTCCTGAATCGAACTCCTCCAAGGTGGCTCCAAAATGGGCCCCGAGGCTCCCAAGGGTGCCCCAAGACAGCCCCTAAGAGGTGCCCAAGAGGCCCCAAGAGGTTCCCAAGAGGCCCCCAAGGGACTGCCAAGAGGCTGCCAAGAAACCCCCAAGAGGCCCCAAGAGGTCCCCCAGAGGCACCCAGGACGCCCCAAGGAGTCCCAGCGACTGCTAAGAGACCCTCAAGACGCCCCAAGAGGCATTCAAGTATCCAAGATGCCTCTGGCCTTCCTGCTCGGCCTCCTCCTTCTCGGCCTGCCTCCTCTTCCCTCCTCCTCCTCCTCCTCCTCCTCCTCTTCCTCCTCCTCCTCCTCCGCCTCCTCCTCCTCCACCTCCTGCTCCTCCTGCCCATCCTCCTCCTCCTCCTCCTCCTCCTCCTCCTCCTCCTCCTCCTCCTCCTCCTCCTCCTCCTCCTCCTCCTCCTCATCATCATCATCATCATCATCATCATCATCATCATCATCATCATCATCATCATCATCATCATCATCATCATCATCATCATCATCATCATCATCATCATCATCATCATCATCATCATCATCATCATCATCATCATCATCATCATCATCATCATCATCATCATCATCATCATCATCATCACCATCATCATCATCATCATCATCATCATCCTCATCATCATCACATCCATCATCATCATCATCATCATCATCATCATCATCATCATCATCATCATCATCATCATCGTCATCGTCATCATCATCATCATCATCATCATCATCATCATCAGCATCATCATCATCATCATCATCATCATCATCATCATCATCATCATCATCATCATCATCATCATCATCCATCCATCACCCGCTCCTCCTCCTCCGCCTCCTCCTCCTCCTCCTCCTCCTCCTGCTCCTCCTGCCCTCCTCCTCCTCCTCCTCCTCCTTTTCCTCCTCCTCCTCCCTCCTCCTCCTCCTCATCATCATCATCATCATCATCATCATCATCATCATCATCATCATCATCATCATCATCATCGTCATCATCATCATCATCATCACCATCATCATCTTTATCAGCATCAGCAGCATCATCATCATCAGCATCATCATCACCATCATCACCACCATCATCATCAGCATCAACATCAGCATCATCATCACCATCACCATCATCATCATCATCACCATCATCATCATCATCATCGTCATCGTCATCGTCATCATCATCAGCAGCATCATCATCATCATCATCATCATCATCATCATCATCATCAGCATCACCCGCCTCCTCCTCCTCCTCGTCCTCCTCCACCTTCTCCTCCTCCTCCTCCTCCTCCTCCTGATTCTCAGCATTTTCATCATCATCATCATCATGATTATCATTATCATTACCATCATCAGCAGCATCATCAGCAGCATCATCATCAGCAGCAGCATCATCAGCATCAGCATCGGCATCATCATCATCATCACCACCATCATCATCATCCGCTTCCTCCTCCATCATCCCTCTCTTGGGGTACGACGACTTACCCAGCCTTTCAGTCCACTGCATGCTCCTCTACAACCCTGGTCAGGGCAACTCGTATGGGCATCGTTTCTGGAGGGGCGGGTGGGGCTACTTTTAGTCAGCGGCCGCGGGCGAGCGCGCCGGCGGCGACGCAGAGACTGATTAAGCAAAGGCAGCGCGAACAGGCTACGACAACGCAGCAGGCCGAGGCCTCACGCGGCGGCCAAGCGGCGGGCGGGTGGCAGGGGAGACTGGAACTGAGTCGAACTGCCAGCGTGCAAGTAAGCAGGGCGTCGGAAGCACCGCGGGTGGGGGGTTACGCGAAGCGTCTAGGGTGGAGGATATCCGCGAGCCTGCGGGTCTGGAGGCTGCGTCGGGCGCCGCGGCCGGTCCCCGAGCGCTCCGGACCGCTCCGAGCGCGTCCCGGCACGCTCTGGCGGTTTATTATCCCCAGAGGGGGCCCTGGACACGGCAGGGCAACTTGTTCCACAATGCCGGATTGCCGTCCCTTGAGAAGTAGAGCGCCGCACAAAAATCGGGGGCGGCCAAGAGGGGGGCGTCAGAGAGGGGGGGGCGCAAAGCATGGCCAGCGCCGTGTGCGCGGCCCATGGAGGGGGGGCCGGGGAGGTAATGGAACAAGGAGAGGAGCCATGAAGTCTGGGGGAATGTCATGGCCCACCCCATGATCTCTCCCCCCCCCTAGTCATCATCCCCCTCGGCCCTCTCTGCCGCCCCCGAAGGCTGCGGCGAGACCGGGACTCGGACCGGAACCGCAAGAAGAGCGGCAAGCGGGGGGGCGGAAAGGGGGGAGAGGGGCCTGGCCCCCTTTTGCCTCTCCCGGGCCCGTCGCTCGGGCGTCCACTCCCTGTGCTTTTTTTTGTTCGGTTTCGTGTGCGTGGCTTTTTCGCCAGTCGGTCAAGGATGCTCCTCGAGGGTCCTCGCCGAAGGAAAAAAAGGCACACGTCCGAGCGATGCCAAGGGCCTGGCCCCCTTGCCTCTCCAAGGGCCCAGGATCTCCCCTCGTCACGAAGGGGTCCGGGCGGGCGTTCGGTTGCCACTCTTCGGGCCCTCGGGGGCGCGCGCCCGGGCGCGCCAGGCCCTGGGGCCACCCGGATGAAAGCCCGCATGTTCCACAGGATAAGCAGCCTCGAACTTATCCCTACCCCTAAGATGGGCGAGCAAAAGGCGAGGGCAATCTTAGGAATAGGCCCTCAGAAACTGAGGGAATCCTTAAGATCGGCATCGAGGTGAGGTGATGTCAAACATAGGGATAGGGATATCTTTCAAACTGGTAACAGGAGAAAATCCAGGCCCGCGCCGTGGAAGGCGAGAGGACATTCCAAGCTATGAGAGGCTCGACAACCGCCTCGAGGCTTGGAAGACCCCGACGTGCCGAGGCGTGGGCGCAGAAGCAGGAACTCTGTGGCCGCTTTCTCGTCACCGTGCGGCTTCTGGTGTATACGCGCAGCAGGAACGGAGGACTCGGGACCGCCAGCCTGGTCCCGGCTGGAAGGTCCAGGCCTCCAGGGGCCCACACCGTGAGGCAGTCGCGACGTCGGGGGTTTGGCGACGAACGGTCACTGCGTGGCGCATTGATATGAGGTTGCAAGGGGGACCGAGGGAGGGAAGGACGCGGAGGGAGGACGGGGCAGGACGTGAGGGATCCATTCCCACCACCCTTCTCCCCTCCACCCTCCTCCCCTCCTCCGCCTTCCACCTTCCAGACGCCACTCCCTCCCACCTGCTTCGTCCTCCCTCTCCCTCACTCTCCGTCCCTGCCTCTCTCCGTGCCGCTCTCCCAGATGCTATCTTTTCACTTAATCGGGCCCTGGTCAGCAGACGGCCGCACGCCACAGATGTGCAAATCGCATTATGGCCCTGACACCTTGACGACTTAATGCAGGATGACGATTAATAAAAAAGGGAAACGATTTAAGTTCCTTTGATT